TCCTAGATGAATTTTTGGCACGAAAAAACCTCGAAGACAAGTCACGACCATAAATACGATCGCATAAAGGCCCCATACGATCGTGTGGACAAGAGTTGTGATTGCATGCTTTGCCTAAGTCGTCCGAAATTTCGTCTAGTTTTCAGAACATTTTAAATCTCGTCAACCGGAGTTACGGTTCATGAGATATGGTCAAAATACTGACAGGGGGTCAAAGATGCCAACAACATCCTTTACCTTTATATTGTAGAATCTATCTTCGTGTGATCAATTCGATCGAATGTTTCTTGACCAAAACATCTTCCAAACATTCCGCATAATCCTTCATAAGTTCCAAGCTCCATTTTAAGCTCCAAACGTGCATCGAATTGCTCCTAAAGCACTGCTCCACTCGAACTATATGAAATTGACATAAAAAACGTGAGCAGTACAAGAATTCTAACAAAATACATGAGTTGAACATTATTTATATAAATGACATGAAAATGTATAAAATATGATCCTAAATGCTAATAAAAACTACCCTAAAAGATGCATAAAATGACATCTAACAAATCTCCCCAATCTTAAACCTTACTTGTGTCAAGTAAGAAAAAGATAAAACATTATAAACTAATGGAAAGATGTAGATGACCTAAAAAGGAACTTAGAATAAAATAAAATAAAATAAAAATACTTCACTCTCTTTTTTATATTTTTATTTTTTTATACGAACAAACTTTACATCGAGGGATTTCCAATCACTACTACCTAGACGACCATACTGCTACATTTCATGTATCACAGACTCCCAGCATGAGGAAGACTACGAAACGGTGTAACCCAATAGTCCAACCATAGTTTTATTTAAACTTTATACCTTAAATAGATTTGTGATCGAAAATAACACAGTCCAAGATCTCATGTCCATAAGACGAGATAGTCAAGAACCAAAATCGACACATCCTTAAGAACCTGTCACGGCAAATCAGATTTGTGATAAAAAATAACACAATCCAAGGCCACACCCGTAGGGGCCCAACTCCTATGCTTTCACTTTTTGGAGAGCCACAAATATCATATCACACAATTCTTCATTCGCCAGATTTGACTTTGAGATGGTTTCTGATTTGATTGAACTTGAATTTGTATCTTTGTTTCTAGCTTGAATTCTTCAATAAACTTTTGAATTTCTTAAGATTTCTTTGATTAAGTGCTTGAAATTTTGATTTGGATACTGGATATGACAGTTGTAACCTTTTCTCCTTCTTGACTGTATGGATCTGATATAAGGGCTCTCTGTTACCACAAGGGTAACGCGTGTCAACAAATATGTCTGTGTTCTGTGGGTCCAGAGTTGTCGATAAAGGCTATTTTTAAACATTCAAAATCAAATCATCCCAAAGTTGTTATTACTTCCCACAAAAATATTTCAGTATGCCATTTTTTTATTATCTAAGGCTGGGGTCTCAGATTACGGTGTTTGGGTCCCCTAGTTATGGCAGCTGATTTTACACTTCCAATAACAACTCGGTTGCTTCGGATTTTCATTTTCCTTCTTCGCGGAGTTATCGGATGTAAATGTATGTATGTAAACTCATTTCGTATTTTTAATTTTTTTTTATTTTTCTAAAAAAAATTTAAGAACTTTTAAATGCATAAAATAAAAATAACTAGAAATAAAATCTTTTTGGGGTTTTTTTTATGAATGCAGAAAAATAAAAAGTGAAAATAAAATATTTTTTGGATTTTTCACAATTTTAGTGCAAATGCAATGCAGAAAATAAAATGCAAAAAGAAAAATAAAATTTGAAAATTTTAAATGAAAAACTGAAAAATTAAATTTTTTAACAAAAAATGCAATTTTTCATACTAACCCCCTCCTCAAGCTTAAAATGATGCATTGTCCTCAATGCTCAGAGATAAATGAACATCCCAATAAAGCATATAAAAACAGAAAGGGTGCAGCTAGGAATGAATGCACCTGATAAGTTCGCAGAAATTTTGATTTTGACGAAGATGTGACGAAAAATCTGAATTTCAGCAACTCTGTCGATCCTATGATTTCCCCATGCTTGCTTGTAACTACGAACATCTCTTTATTGAAAGAGAAAAAAAACTAAAAAACTACTCATCGGGTTGCCTCCCGAAAAGCCGCCCATTTTTAAAGTCGTTGGCTCGACTTTACCCCACCAGATTTATGAACTGGTGTGGTTGGGAATTCTCTGAAGCTCAACTCTTTTTCTTGTGACTCCAGATCCCTTCAAATATGGCAATATTGGCGGATTTGGAACTTGCTCAACAGACTGGAAAGACTCTAGATTATCTTTAGATAAGTTCTTCTGATTTTTAGACTTTTTCCTCTTTCTGGTCTTCTTTTGCTTTCCAGAAGTCTTCTCTTTGAACTCTTCAGATTCTTTTCCTCTTTTCAATTTCGTCTCTAAACTCACATCTCCCACCATTTCTTTTTCCAAAAGTTTTTTTCTTTTCAGATTTTTATCTGATTCTTCTTCAGCAGGAATCAGATACTCCTCATTCACCTCCCCAAGTTTATCTTTTGCCAGCTCCTCCAATGTGTATGATAAATTCATGTCTGCAAATTCTTCTTGCACTGAAACATAGAAAAACCCACAGCAGCCCTCAGACAAAGGACTGTCGGTACCCATATAACTGACAAAAATATTTTCAGAAGGAAAATCAACATTATTAATGTTAAAGTTTACAACTACTCATCAAACTCCATTGAAAGTGTACTAGCAAAAACATCAATTTTTGTTCTAGAAGTTTTCATAAAAGGTCTTCCTAAAATAATCGAGTTTTTTGTCAGACACATCAACATTCCCCATGTCCAATATATAAAAATCAGCGGGAAAAATAAGCTCATCCACTTGGACAAGAACATCCTCAAGTACACCTTTTGGGTGTACATTTGAATGATCCGACAACTGGATGACGGTCCCGGTCTTTTACAAAGATCCCAATTTTAATTTTTCAAAAATAGAAAACGGGAGGACATTAACTGATGCACCTAAGTCTAGCATGGCTTTTGAAAAATTAAGGTTCCCCAATTTACAAGGAACTTAGAAAATCCTCGGATCCTTGCACTTTGGAGGCAAACCTTTTTGCAAAATAGCATAAATGTTTTCACCAGCTTTAATTGTTTCATTAGATTTTGGTTTTTCTTTGAAACACATAATTCTTTTAAAAACTTAGCATAACGAGAAATGTGTTTTATAAAATCTAAAAGTGGGATATTTACCTCAACCTTACGAAAAGTGTCCATAATTTCCTCGTCCTCACGCTCGCGTTTCGTGCTTCTCAGTCGCGATGGGAAGGGCGGTAGTAGCTTGTACTCCTTCAGAATTGGCTTGGGTGGTCTTGGAAATTTTTTTCTTTATCTTCTTCAACCAATACTTCTTCATACTCTTCAACTTCAGCTCCTTTTTCTGTCTCTTCCGCATCTCCTTCTTCTACCAGAACTTCTTCAAATTCTTCTTCAGCTTTGTCTTATGGTTTAGATAAGCTTGGGCCTCCATATGTTTTCGCACTTCTCAAGGAAATAGAACTCACATTGTTCTTTGGATTGTTTTCAGTGTGTGTCAGTAACTTTCCTTAAGATTCCAGCCGACCCACAGAAGTGGCAAGTTGAGAGACCTGCTGTTCCAGATTTCTGATGTTCGCTCTAGTTTTGTGCTGGAATGCATGAGTGCTGGTGGCCATACTTTTAACAATATCCTCCACGATCATGCTAGAGCTACCAGAATATTGCTGTGAAGGCTGCTGAAAATTTCGCTGCTGCTGAAATTCGGGTGGAGGCTGAAATTGTTGTTTCTGCTGATAATTATTCTGAAAATTCTGTTGGTAGCCCCCGACAGCTTTGACTGCAACTATATCCTCTTGCAATATTGGGAACATATTAGTTGGGTGCCCAGTTTTGCAGCAGATCCTGCAAGCTTTAACTTTTGACTCGATACCTTTTTCTTTTGTCAGCAGGAGAACAGCCATTGTCAATTCTAAAATCTGAGATTCTACGTGGGCATTACTTATTTCTTTGACCCCTCTTGGTTGGTCCGGATACCACCCTTCCTCAGTTGCAGAGTGTTTTGATTCATTGGCCATCTTCTCGATTAATGCCTGGATCTCCGTTGGTCTCAAATATGAAAGTGACCCTCCACATGCATTTATATATCTTATTTCCATGGGTACTAAGCCTTCGCAGAAACATTGGTATAGCTGGTAATCACTAATTCCATGTTTTAGGCATCGGACCAACAACTTCTTGAACCGCTCCCAATAAGTGTGGAGATCTTCTCTTTTCCCTTGCTTTATACCGAGAACTTCTCTGCGTAAATTTGACACTTTCACCTCAGGAAAATATTTCTCTACAAAAAGTTTGGCGAGCTCGTTCCAGCTTGTTATCACTACTAGAAAAACAGCCATTTATGATGCGCACTGCATGTCGTAAAACGCTCAGACGAAGCGCAAATGCGTGTCAAGGAAGGCCATGTCATAACGAGAGACGACACGCTTTTGCGCGTCGTCTATAGATGACGTGCATTTACGACACACATTTACTACGCTCATTTACGACACACAATGCGTATCAAGGAAGGCCCTATCATAAAGGAAGACGACACGCATTTGCGTGTCGTAACCTTACGATGCGCGTTTAGGACACACATTGTGTATCATTATATCCCCTGTCATAAATGAAGATGACACGCATTTGCGTGTCATAAACTTCAGCAACCATTTACAATATACATATACGACGTGCCTTTACGATACTCTTTTACGCATAATACAAAAATATATAAAAAATATTTATACCAAAACAATCAATTTCATCCAATAACATCATGTCAAAGAATTGTAATACATTGATTTTAAAGGGATCTGATTATACATTGTTATTAAGAGGTTTTCCCTAACTATATAACCTAATAGTACATTGCTATAAAGGGGCACCTTCTTGTTTCAGTAACTCATCATTAAGCTGTCTAAAGAAGCTTTGAAACCCTTCATGTATCCAACCAATCATCATGTCTCTTAGCTTTAATATCAATCCCAACTCTTGATAAAAAAAACTACACAGAAATCCTACACAATAATCATGTCAGTTGTACAATATCAATATCAACTAATTAATAATACACATGGTATGTATAAGAGTGGAATCAAAATGATCTACCAATAAGAGTTTTATATTGTCTTGAATCAAAGTATTTTTGGTGGGCTCAAGGGCAGCTCCCAAAGGATACTCCTTGCCTGTGCCATCTTCCTTTTGAATTTGCAGGAGAGTGTCTGGTTGTTCAAATCAGAAAAGAAAACCAACCAAACCATTGCACTTTTATCCTTGTTCATATTAAAAAAATTCTTTTTATACATATCCAGAGACTGACTAACCAGATATTTCAAGAAGAAGATGACTAACTAGATATATAAACATGTATGTATAATTAATAAATTATATTACTCATCATTCAAAACATATATAATATAATATTATTATTATACCTGCCCAATAAGTTCCAGGAACAGTAAGCTCTAAGTCACGACACTCTACTAATTCTGGAGAAACTGACTGCATTTACACAAAAGGAAAACAATCAAACACCAACTTTGAGTATTCCTTCCTTCATATTGTAAAACGAAGACACAAAAAAAAGTAAATACATGAAATAAGTTACATTGCTGTGATTTGCATTTATCCCTACAATTTAACTTTAATGGCATTAAAAAAATATGCATGAAAAAAGTTACTTATAGAGACATGATACTACAGATCCCAGGCCTTAAGAAAAAACACATTTAAATGATTAAGATATGAGATTCTGTTATTCAAGATGATGCACTTAGAGATTATTATAGAGATATAAAGATTCATTGTGTACCCGAGTAAGCTCAACGTCTTTTCCAGTTCTCTTATATTCCATGCAACACTCATACGCTTCCAATAGCTAATGAAGATATGTCTGAAATTTTATCAAGAGACACCAATTAGTATAATATTTTGAAAACATGTCAATTTTGATAATATGATGTAAAAGAATATCTGAACTGACCTGAATAAAAGCTTTCTCTTTTATGGTTGTGTTGTTTCTCTTGGCACCTTCTTCAAGAATTTCATGCAATGGTTCTAAAACCTTAAGCATTCCCTCAATATTATATTCACCGAAATACAACCGACACAAGTTGTGCCTTCACGTAAAACAAATCTAGTTTTCAGCTAAAAACCCTAAACCCCAAATTAATCAACAGTCATTGATTCATTATTATTAAGTTATTATTTCACCTGATCAACCAACAGACCACTGTGTTTCCTCACTTTGTCAACCACTTCCTGAGTTGCAACCTTCCTCAAATTGCTTATTGACTTACAGGCGACAAGAAGAGGGTACATAAGAGCCTGAAATGGATTTTGAAACAGGTAAGTCTACTTGGTGTTTTATGTTCTAAAAGGGTACAAAAGGAAAAACAGAAGAGACATGTGGATGGCTTTGTCCTATGCGAACGAGAAGAGATTGTATCAACTCTCTCACAGCATGATTATTTGAGTGGATTGTTGCAATGATATGAGGTAAAACAACCAACCATGTGTTGATGTTAACATGTGAAAAACCTTTCTAATATTGTCATCGCACATCAAAGTCCTGTAAAATACCTTGTTTGTGATTCGCAGAACTCTTTAGTTTGCTTACCAACTTCATCTCATTTTTCAACAGGTCTTTCCTCCCATTCTATTCCAGAACTACATAATCTGGAAGCACCAATTTCAATACAGGTTCTGAAATTATAACACTGAGATCATAAGAGAAAGAACTACAAAGCTCATAGCAGATCATTTCATTTGATTCACTGAAATTCATATAAAAAGCCACTAGTTCAATCAACCATGGTGATTGTAAGATCTCCAAGTGTTCATCCTGCAGCTTAGACCTGAAGTTCATGCCACTTACAGAGTTGTGCACCTGAAAAACAAACAGAAATCATAATCGCAACACATCAATCCAAAAAGAAAAGAAAAAACAGCAATCTAAAGAAAGAATAGGATATTTGCTTACTTTGTCGTATTTCTTAAGAATTTTCCTAAGAGCTATAGCATTCATGATAACATATTTGATTAACATCTGCCCTTCCACTACAAGTGCTTGTTGATCATTTTTGAAACATTGAAACAAGTGTAGTAACTATCTCGGCATACCAGTATTGCAATGAAGCTGGACAAGATGTCTGACTCTAGAGCTAATACACCCCATTATATCAGAAGCTTCTTTCATTATCTTGCTGAAGAACATTCGATCACACCCTACATTCATAAAAAAATCATGAATAAAAATATCACATCGTATACAATACATAAGACACGTATTCATGATCTGTTCTTAAAATTTACGTAATGTCAAAATTGGTAGTTCATAAGAGTCTGCAAGTGTAAAGAGCAGGATTACTAATTATAAACAATACAAACAAATGCATTAAGAATCGCAGAATCAGACTTTGATGCTAAGGATGGAACTTCCCAGTTCCCACCACCAACAGTAAGAAGTACTCTCATCCAAACTAGTTATAGTAACCCGTTACAATCTGATCCTAACCGACTAGTCAAATCTCCAATACTTTTAGAGTCAAAAAAATTTATGTCCTGTGAAAAAAGTGAGGTTACAAATGATGTTTATATATATCATAATGATGTTTTTGTCCAGAAAGCTTCATATAACCTCCTGATCAGATTACTAATAAAAATGGATTTATTGGGCAAATTGAACCTAGATACCAAGTCTTGTAGTTCAATCATCTTGTGCTCGAGTCCTTTTGTTGCATATAGATAGACAAGGTAGCCAAAAGTGGTCTCATCTGGGTGAACACCTAACAGAGACATTATGTCGAGCACCTTGTGTGCATCCGTAACCGATTCTTGTTCAAGGCAACAACCCTACAAAATAGTGTTATAAGTAGACAAATTGAGTTTGTGATATATCAACCAATAGATCTGATAGTACATAAAAATATCTAAAATGAAAAAAAAAACATGTTTATATACTTTCCCTATACCGTCCATGGCGACTATACGGGTGTAAGTTCGTTTGGAAAGAGATGAGAGACGTATGTGAGAATTGACATTTTGGAAGGGTGATTGAGTTGTGAAGAGTGACGTGGAGTCGAGCTTCGAAGAGCGGTAGAGCCCGGAGAAAAGAGGCGGGGTAGAAGCGGGGGATTTAGGACCGGAGAGTTGGGATACTGGAGTAAGAGAAGTTGAAATTATCGCCAAAGTAAACCCTAATTCAGAGCTTGGAGTCCATAAAAATGGTGATAGCTGGTAGAAAATGGTGTATAGGGGGACGAATGAGTATTTAATATGATCTAGGGTTCATTGTTGTTTGTAGTTGATACCATGGTTGTAGAGCGCCAAATACCTGAAAGGGAGAAAGATTCACAACTGCACAGTGCTAATAAGGTTTCTTCGATAGAGGATTTTACATCAGAAGGAGGAGATACGTCACTTTGATAACATCAACATCAAAAAGATGAAAGGGAGAAGATCGGAGAACAAGCGGGGTTTTGAATTTTTTCGGATTTCATTTCCCCCCTTGTATTAAAGGATGGAGGCGCGTTTTACTCAAAAAATATAAAACGACATTCTTACACGACACCCGTTTAACATAGGTGCCCTCCGTGTTTGTAATTTTTTTTGTTGGACACCAATTTCAGGGCACGCAAAAATGCGCGTCCTCTATCCTTCATATTTTTAAAAACTGACATTATTTTTAGGACACACAAAAAAAGCGTATCGTAAATCAGTGCGTGTCATTGTTCGTGCGTCATTAAAGGGCTGTTTTCTAGTAGTGTATCGAACCAGACGGGAGGTCATATAACCACTCCTTTGCTGCATCTTGAACCGAAAAGGGGAATGCCCTTAGTTTGATCTAGTCTTCAGTAACTGCATGAGGCTTCATTACAGAACAGACGACATGGAATTCCTTGAGAAATTTAAAAGGATCTTCGTTCTCAAGGCCTCGGAACAGGGGCAAAAGATGGATTAAACCATATTTAAGCTCAATGTTTTGAGCTTCTAGAAAAGTGATACATAGAGGTTGTTGGGTAACCTCTTGTGTTGCCCACTCGCGAAGAGTCTTTTCAGCATCGTCTCCATTTTCTCTCATAATGATTTCTGTTTCGGGTTCTGATTGGTTTTCAGAAGAGTCTGTGTATTCGGATTTAACGGAAGAGGGTGAGGAATATGATTTATAAGGGTTGTTTTGAGGAGAATATGGGGGTACTTTCGGAAAAAAAATGGATCTGGTTCGTTCCACAAGGGAGTGCCTTGTGGTGTGGATGTTTCTAGAGGTATGGACGATGATGAACCAAAGATATCAGTTGATCGTTTCTTTCTTGCTGCTTCTTTCTTCAGTCTCCTTGCAATTCTTTCGATTTCTGGATCAAAAACTAAAGGTGTACCTGAACGAAATTTTTTTGGCATAAAACTATTAGAAAGCATCGTGTCCCCGGCAACGGCGCCAATTTGTTAACACATTGTCACGCGCGTATTAAACAAATAAAAATATCACTGGTGGCTGCACTAAAAATATAGCACAGGGAAGCATGGTTGAATCCTCAGGGACACAGCCTAATGGTCAATGCCTTTTTGCATCAGGCACAATCTAGTCAAGACAATAATTATTAAGAAGGGGGGATTTTGATTAAAACTAAAAACTAAAAATGCAGTGATATTAAATTAAACGAAAATCAATATTAAAAACTGTATCATCTCTGCTGTGACTTTCCTAATCATGCAACTAACCTAGATCTGATTATTTGAGATGCCTTCTATCTAAGCTGGTACTGAGAAAAACTAACAAGCTCTAGTATAATCTCTGTTACCTAAACTAGTTAATCAAAACAAGCTCTTTGAATTAACCCTAAATTTTTACTGCCCAATCAAACAAGCTCTTAATTAAGATTAGAAAAGTTGTATTAAGTTCTTTGTAAAATTCCCAGCAATACCCAATACTTCTCACAAGCTCGGAAGCGTAAATATATGGTTTTTACAGTTTATATCAGAGTTAAATCCCAAAACGGAACCAATCTGATACTTGTTACTTATTACAAATTAATTAGAACAATTACAGATTCTATTAACTGATTAACTGGAATGATAAAACTCTAGCTAGGTGATCAGACTAACAAGAATTTAAAACCAAACATTCGTTAAGCTCAAAACTGAAAAATCTAGATAGAAACACAAGTCAAAAATCAGATCTAATGATCAATCACATGAAAAGTACTAGTCTATGCAGAACTGAAAAATAGGGTTTTAGCCAAACATGGCTAAAATCTGATAAAAACTACTAGAATTAAACATTAAACAACTAATCTTACTAATCTAATTAAAGGAGATGATCCACAGTCTTCAGATCTTCAGAAATCGTTAAAATCGGAAAAGAAACACCTCCAAAATCGTATTTTTCGTCGTCTGGAGCTACATGAGTCGACTAGGGTATGAAATCTCTTTACTGGAAGGTTATGTGGGTCTATTTATACGTCCAACAGCAAAAACGACAATACATGCGATCGCATAGAGCAAGGTTGCGATAGCATGTTTTTAAGAAAACACGTCTCGGGCCTTTTTAATGAATTTGAATGCTATTTTGGAACTTTTTGGCAAATTTGCACTCACATAAGGTAAGGTTGCGATCGCATGCTTTCATTTTTTTCTCCCAGATGAATTTTTGGCACGAAAAAACCTCGAAGACAAGTCACGACCATAAATACGATCGCATAAAGGCTCCATGTGATCGCATGGACAGGAGTTGCAATCGCATGTGTTGCTTAAGTCGTCTGAAATTCCGTATAGTTTTCAGAACATTTTGAATCTTGTCAATCGGAGTTACGGTTCATGAGATATGGTCAAAATATCGACAGGGGATCAAAGCTGCCAGCAACATCCTTTAGCTTCATATTGTAGAATCTATCTTCGTGTGATTAATTCGATAGAATGTTTCTTGACCAAAACATCTTCCAAGCATTTCTCATAATCCTTCATAAGTTCCAAGCTCAAAACACACATCCAACTGCTCCCAAAGCACTGCTCCACTCGAACTATCTGAAATTGAAATAAAAAACATGAGCATTACGGGAATTCTAACAGAATACATGAGCTAAACATTATTTAAATAAATGACATGCAAATGTACAAAAAATGATCATAAATGCTAATAAAACTATCCTAAAATATGCATAGAATGGCATCTATCACCCATACACTGAATACACATCATACTTATCATGTTTAAATATTACCACTTCATCACTTGATTCACAATTACTCTATCTCTTTTCTCATAACCCATTTCTCTACTTGAAATTTTTGGGTACTTATCTTCTTTAGTCCTTAGTTTCTCACAAGCCAGTTGATATGAAATTCTCTTCTTCGTACTTACTCTATACCTGATACATCTAAAATATGTATTTTCACATACTTACACATCTCTTACATTGGGAAGTCACGCACTCCCAATCTTTCCAACCTCTCATCTCTAAATGACACTTGGTATTTATATTCTCTATTAGGGATCTATACCCAGTCTTAGACTCTTCTCATGAGTCCACCATCTTCACACTCCACTATGTCAATTCTTACTTTTTTCCAACTGTCCCTTATTACACATAGGTTTAATCCTTCTGCTTTCATTAACATTTACTTACAAGTAAACTATTACATAAACCCACATATCTACATAATCTCACAGGTCCATCTTTTCCCATCTTAGGAGCTACACATCCTCTTTTTTCCCTCTTGTAGACACACTACCAAAGTGCCATCTTACTCGACATACTTTATACTTACTTCCACATAATTATTGACTCGTTTTCTCATGTTCCTTAGTTCTTTACATAACAACATGGAACATTTTCTACTATCTCTCTCTTTTTCTTAAGTGTCCAACGTGACACTTGTTGCACCACTTTCTCTTCATCTACATATCTATATCTTATTTTTTCTAATCTATCTTGGTCAGTGTTATCACTATAGCATCAATGACGTGGTTCAAGCTCTACTCTCCATATCTCATACACTTTCCATTTAACAATGGACCTTCTCTTATGCATGGCTACTTTCTCTCAAGCAATACCAATCTACTCTTGTATTCACCAGTACAATCTTTTTCTTTCATGTATTTATAAGATATACTCTTTCTATCTTTATTCTTCTTCTCTAGGCATACTAACCCTCTTTACTATGTGTGTCCCCTTTCTTGCCACTATTTATCTATATTCCCATCTCTTTATCTTCCTG